AAAAAAAGAGGGGGGGGGGGGGGAAGGGGCAGATCCACAACAGTTCAGAAACACACGCAAAATATGTACTTACTACCACTTTTTCTTTTGGCTTCTCTTCTCTATAATCCAAACAGTCTTGCTGTAGCTCCTTTAAATCATTAAGTAATTCAGTTGCCTGCCTCAAGGAAGATTTTCTTTCCTGTATCTCAGCATATTCTCTTTGTAGTTTTGTCAGTTGTGGTTCAGCTCTGAAAAAGATCAAGGCTTTGATGACTACACCTGCACATTTCTTTCACGAGTACCTACGAACGTATTTCCTCTGAAGAAGACTTAAGGGAAAGGTTGGTCAGAAGTCCAAAGCATAGGTTAGTATAACATACTGTTTAATTAGAATAACTAGCATATTATTTAAACAGGTCCAAATCCACAAAAAAACCCCAAACTTTTTTCCACATCTCACTTGTGAGTCTGACGAAGTAGCCCCTCTCTCTTAAGCACTTATATTTTTCAAGTGAAGTTTCTGAAAGCCCAGTGTTCCGCTTCTGCAGACACCTGCCTGCTGGCGGAGGTGTTCAGCGCTTATGCTGAAGCACACTCAGGATCTACAAACTAGATACGCCTCTGCCTGTGTAAACTGGAGGGCTCAATCCATTAAATTAGCACTCCAAAAACTGAACTCCAACAGCCATTTTCATTTAACAGTGTTGCAGCAAAAAAGCTTTCTTAAGATGATCAAAAGCTTAAAACACAACAAATAAAAAACGTGAAGACAGCAAGTTCTTCAGGCTATTGTTGTGCATCATTAGAAACATACCCAATTAGCTCTTCTCTGAGTTGCAACAGTCGCTGCCTTTTCTTTTTGATGTCTGTTATTACCTGAAACAAATGGCGAGGAAAGTCTTTGAAACGGTTTCTGTGACTTCAAAGGCAAACAACTCAAATTTCATTGGCTTTTTTTCTTTGAGGTTTTATGCTTCTGATTCTGGGTGTGGAAGATTCCAAGATACCAGACCTTATAAACTGCCATATTTTACATTTGTATTTTAAACACTTCAAAGCTCTTTAAAACGTCAAACTCTCATCTCTGTCCGAAATTTCTCTTGAGGAACACTGGATTTGCAAGCATACAAAAGGAGTTTGGGACATTTTGAACTCAAACATGACCAACTCTAGCAGGTTTTTGTTTCTGTTTTAAAAATGCAGACTAATACGAATGTATGCTCAGTATGATTGCCATAACTAAGGAACTAAGAATAATTAAGCTTTCTTCAATACAACATTCAATTAAAGAAAAAACCAAATGACTAATCATAAATTTAAATTTAACAACTACAAATCTGATTTTAAACAAGTGTGTAAGAGGCAAAATAAGGATAACTCTGAGTGGCTGCAAATGCTAGATGTGTATTAAAATTTTCATTTTACACGCAGAGTAGCTTACCATATCACCTCAAATTAACAAGACTTTAGCACATTAATTGCTACTTCCCAGAATAAGCTTTCTGTTGACTTTAATTGTTAAAAGCTATTTTGTCATCAAAAAGTTTGCGGAAGAGGTAAATCTGGGCAGAAAGCCTCGGGCAGCCAGTGCCTAACCCGCTCTTAAATATCTCTGCTGTAGGGCATTCACCTCTCTCCTGATGAAACCGCTGCAACGTTTTTCTGCCCTTACACTAGTTCCTCCTCCTGTCGACACTCCCCGCTTGCCTTTTCAGTCAATTACTACGTGCTCTGAATGAACAGAGGAACTGCCTGCCTCTGAACAAAAACTTTGCATATATTTAAGGAATGCAGCTTCCTTAGACTTCTCTCCTCTAGACTAAGCGATCCAATTCTGTCCTCACAGGTCACCATCTTTGCTACTCTCCTAGATTTTATATTCATCTCTGTTTCTTGAAGGTTAGCTCTCAATATTGAATTGGCTCTCCAGAGGCCTCACCAGTGCTCATTAAAAGAGTAATTCACGTGCATGGATACCTACACATCCTCATGTGCATTCCTTCTTTTTACAGCAGTGTACGTATGGAGTCTGCAATCCATCCTATTTACTCAGATCTTTTCCAAAAATACTCTGGTGGTTCCCCATCCTCTATTTGTGCAGTTGATTCTGTAGTACCCTACACTTTTTTGAATTGTTTTATTTCTTCTAGTCAACTTGTTGAAATTTCCATGCCCACCTCTGTACGCTGTACAATCTAGTGATATATATGTATTTACCTTAGCATTTTTTTTCTTCATATTCTTTAATTCCTGGACTTCCACTATCTACAGAGGAAAAGAAGAATTACAGATGGACTATGGATCTTGATTTCATCTCTATCCTCCTAAAAACATGGTTGCAAGAATTACTTTGGAGTAACACAAAAAGCTATTTAAAAAAACCAACACTGGTTCAAAGGAAGATTACAAGCCTATCAGTTGTGTATCAATTCTTTCCTCTCTCCTCATGCCAGAGGAAGACTGTTGCACAAAACTAGTTATCTTGCACCAGTTAGTGCAAGTAATACTCCTTGGACCAACTAGTGTAATACTACCTGGCTTAATTTTTCTAGAACTTTATATAAAATGTATAAATCTAGTCATTTTAAAACTTGCCCATTCTAATGAATCACTTAGAACTATAGTTTTAGTACTTACCCGCTGTACTTGCCACAACGCCTACAAAGTTCAGAGTTTATTTTACTCGTTGTAATTAGTGAGAAGAAATCTTAGTCTTCCAAGTTAATAAGCTTTTTACAGTTAGGTTGAAACTGTTAATTAAAGAAGGATGATTTTCCCTGAACTATGTTAGAGGCCTCTACACAAGAGTCACTGAGATGCAGTATAAAGATTAAATCATCGACCTTTTAAAACTCTAGTCTGTGAGCTTTTAAAAGTGACGTAACTGCTCGTTCAAATTACGCAGCTCTCCAGTTTCGCTACCTAATGCTTTAGATATGACAAATATTAACGTTTCCCTAGTCTCAAAAGCTGACAATTTTGCAACATACTTGCATGACAGCAGTGTTGTATCTAAAGACAATTCTCATGAAAGCCAGCAGAGAGGCTGCACGCAGCAAACTGCTTTCATATTATTTATCCTGACAACAGATTAGAAAATTTAAAGTATCATAAAATAAATGTGTAAAGGACAATATAAAACCATAGGCATTTTGACTACAACGTAATATACAGCTCTATAATCACTGCCACAAATCTGATTTTATTTATGGCGTACTTACAAGATCGGTGATTTGGTCCTTGAAAGCAGAACAGAAGCCATTGATAGCTTTTCTGCAAACGTTTGATTCTATGCTTTGTCTGGAGAAGTCAGAGGGACAAAACACAACCCCTTTGGTTTAGTAAAGGAGAAATCTCATCCAAAAACATTCCTTTGAGTAATGAATAAAACCCCATGTTAAGCAGCTGGTAGCACAGGCAACTGCGGATCTTTCATGTACCAGCAATAGCTTAATTTCTACATTGAAAAACATCAGCTGTGTTGTTCTTATGTTTGGAAAAATATCAAATTCCTGGAGACCACCTCAAGGTCACATACAAAAAATATTTGTATCACAGAAACCTAATAATCATTAAAATAACATCAGAATGTAACCATGCAATACTGCATTCCCTAAAGGACAGCCCATTAACAAAACCGCAGGTAATCTGTTTTTAAAACTTTGAGTATTCAGCCATAGGAAAGCAGAATATTTACCTGTAATTTGCTGCTATCTTCTCAAATTCAGCCAGAACAACATCCAGTTCTGTAATATCTCTGGGAGATCTCTTCAGCTCTTTGGGACACCAAACCTCTACAGAACATGGGCTATCCACTGAAACAACAGAATAAAGATAAGCATTGTACACTGCAGGTACATGTTCTGCAATAACAGAAAAGTTACTGTGCCCACCATTAAAATAACCATCTAAAAGTTATGAGTATTTTAATGTGAAACTTGAGAAGAGGGAAATATGAATTATTTCATCTGTCTTTGGCTGAGCAACTATGATAGACTTATCTGGGAACACTTTAGAATTTGGACGATCAATTATATACAACTTATTCCTTATTCTTCATCGGTTCAAACAAGTCCAGGAAGGCGTTATTACACTAACTGATAAACTGCACAGTGTACTGTGCAGATATAGCTGTTCGTGCTGTAAAAACTACTAGCCTGACTTTGGGCAACCTGCATTAGTCAAAGAATCACGAGTTGTTATACCATATTTGTATACATTTTGTATTAATACCATATATGCTTCAGAAAAAGCTATATACAAATATGTTTCTTTAAACTTTGCAACAGTATTATTAGCTAATCCCACAAAAGCTCAAACCGTGTTTCTTCTTACTCCCAAATGTAAGTCTAGTACTTGAATGTGACGGGCTACAGTTCAAAGGAAGCAAGATGACACCTGAGAAACAGTTTCTCTATACCAAAAAATGCCACCGTCTTGAAGCTCCCTATCTCAAAGGTCCTTATGCTGACAGCTGTGCCTATGCTGTCAGTCAGGGGCACCCCCAGCTCTGCTCCACAGCCTGGTGCTCCAGGCTTCCACACCGAGGGACACACCAAAGTGTCTCACAGCTCCATACCCACGGACCCAGGCTTCCCTCCACAGGGAACCGGGCTGCGTGTGAGGGATAACGCACGCCTATGCTTCACCCCTCCAGGGGAATAATAGGCAAGTCCAGGGATGCAAACCATGGGGATCAGAGCTGTGTGGCACACCAGCTCCTCCATTTAACCATTGCTAATGAGTGCCTAGAAACTAAAACCTCCCATTTCTAGCAGCAGTATGCTGCTACATACCAGAAATGACAACCACTGCGTTATGGAAAAGCACTCATCTTGAACAAGGAAAAGTCATACAGGAGTTTTGAAAAGTCTACTTTACCAGAAGGCTCTGATGTGTTCCTCTCTGAAGGCCGCTTCTTTTTTGCCTGGAACTGAGTAGTATTCAGAGCCTTCTGCGATATAAAAAGCAGATTAACTTCAAAAAAACCCCTAGGTTTACTTATTTAAAATTTTAAGAGATGGAAATTAGGCAGAGCACACTGAAGTATTTCAGCTTTTCACAGATGAAACACCAGTAACATTTACTTAGGGCTATTTTGCCAGAATCACAGCACAGCGATCACACCGCTGAGGGACAGCAGCTGCCTGACTGCACTGACCGACTGACAGGTCAGGCACTGGCCATGCAGCAGGAGGAACCTTTTGAGGAGCATAGGGCCCCTCGGTCCAGCACAGTCGTTGCCCAGTATTAAGAGCTGTCTGACCAACAGTGCCTCCCTACCTTCCTTTTCACCCACGTTCTGCCCCAATTCTTTCTCTACTTAGACTACTTTGTGACACCAACACAAAGTAGTAATTCTACGAGTGCTGCATACGTGCAGTTTACTGATCAAAGACTACCGCTCTGTACTGAATTTTACAAAAGGATTTTCAACAATCCCAATGAATTTCAATATATAAAAACCTTTTATGCAAACTACTGCATAGCTTCTTTTATCATAGGCCTACTTTCTCAGGTCTGCAGAGAGTTAACTCTTCCTCTGTACGCCTGGAATCTAAGTGGACCAAAAGCACTTTACACTAATTGCAGGCTAAGTGTGGAAAAACACTCATTCAAAACCAAGTGGTTTTTGTCTAATTCTAATATATATTCAAAATTAATTTTATCAATGAAAAGTTCAATTCATAAATATATTCTTACTTCAATACTGAACAAGTACGAGGGACTTATATTCCATTTAGTATGCCATTCTTTAAGAACGTATATTCCAGGTATAAAGAAGATACTTAAAAGAAGAGAATGAGCAAGAGAATGGGCTACAGGCCCACACCTGGCCATTATATTCCCCATTGACATGATGACTGTAGCTTTAAGCATTTCACTCGGCCATCTCACAGGAATAGTTCGAGGATTAATTGAGACACAATTAGGAAGTACTAAGAAACAAATGAAAGGCCTTGCTCTCCTCTCTAATGCAGGCATGGCATGAAGTAAGTTAAAATTAAATTGACTGATAAACTCATGCAACTTTCTCTATACCACATTTTCCTCAAGGGGTTCATCTTCAGGATCATCTGTGCTGAATTTCTGAACATCACCATCAGATGTTTTTGAATGATGCGCTTTTTTACTAGGAAAAGAAAAATATGCACATGTAAACCCACTACACACCAAGAAAAAAATATCTTCAACCATACAAACAACAAAATCTTAGGTTTTGGGGAACATTTTGTATTGCCATGTCATTCAGTTTGCGTCTCCTAGATCAACTGCTTAAAAAGTTGCACGTGGCACATAAAGGGAACAGAATCTTCATCCTTCAGCAGCAACTCTTGCGACAATTAGAAATCCATTAGTAATGGACCACTGGGATAGCCATGTTGTTGAGGAAAAGATTCGAAACAGAAACAAAATTATTACTGAAGATATTTTAGCAGGAAAGGAGAAGGCTTTCTTGGTGGCGGGGCGGGGTTAGAAATCAAAAACCAAAAAAATACACGCTCTCATACAAGCTCTATTATTGTCTTGCTATTTCATTCAAATAAGAACTATTTCAGATTTAAACCAAATTTAATTTAACAAATGAGAAACATACCAAAACTTGCATTAAAAGATTCTTTAAAATTAATTTTCTTTGTTCCATATAGTTTAACTGGCTTTTACCTATTTTTCATTTTTTCGACTTTTTAACTTTAAAGACACCAGTATTTAGAGCGCTAATTAATCTCTCACAGAGATATTTTAAAATCTTTTATTTTGAAAAAAAAAATACAGTAAATACTTAAATCGATGTGCTGCTTGCAAAAGGCAAACACTAATTTATTCTCCCATTTCTTTAAAATTAATTTTCTTTGTTCCATATAGTTTAACTGGCTTTTACCTATTTTTCATTTTTTCGACTTTTTAACTTTAAAGACACCAGTATTTAGAGCGCTAATTAATCTCTCACAGAGATATTTTAAAATCTTTTATTTTGAAAAAAAAATACAGTAAATACTTAAATCGATGTGCTGCTTGCAAAAGGCAAACACTAATTTATTCTCCCATTTATTTTCTACGTTCCCCAGTCTTAAAATTTCCCAGATGAGAAACCAAAAGAATAAGTAAGTTAAAGCACCTGTTTAATAAGCAACTAGGGAAACCTGACAAACAGAACATTTTCCCCATTTAATCTAAAAATCTAAAGATTAAATTAAATGCTGGCAATTGTTTTTTTCACCAGACCTTCTTTCTGTACTTTTCCTTTGCGGAGCTGAAACATGACCAAGTGACTCGTTTTGTGAATGTTCCTCTCCATAAGCATCCACAGCAGTACTGTGCAAAGGGTGATCTGTAAAGAACAGAAAATAAGCCGTATGAAAATTGTTCCCATCTGTTCAGGCAAACAGCATGGACATGCTAGCAGTGCCTGCCATTCAGCATTTAGTTAGAATTTTTGTGGTTTGCTCACTAATAAAAAGGAAGTCTTATTAAAAGTATTATTTGAGGAGCAGGAAAAATATCTATAGTGAAAAGCTTCACGGTTTCTATACTCATTCACCTGCTATTACTTTACAAACTGAAACCAAAGGTGCATGAAAGCTCAGCACGTACATATGGCATATAGCAAGCAAAACATTTTGTACAGTTCATTTAAAGTCTCTCTTTACTGTGGCATACATCAATCTTCTATACATTTAAACAACTACTTACCTTTTTTTTTTTTAATATGGATTTTTAGCTGCTTTATTGGATGCTATAAGAAGACAGTCACAGCTGCTACAGTAAGTTTGTAAATGTAGAATTCTTGAAGGTAGCTACCAGGATAGATTAAAACTCTGAGAACCTTAAGGTTTTAGCCTGCCTTCCATAGTATGTATTTTTTTTTTCAAGCACATGGCCACAAAAATCTAGCGTTAGCTTACATTACTGTTAGTGGAATCTTTTTTATAGTTTTTAACACATGCAACAGAAGTGAAGAAAAGAAGAGCTTTTAATTTTGCAGACTTTCCCTTACGACAACCCTTTTGCTATATTGCTCTTTATAGCTCATTTTCAACGCTGTTTCTAGTAGTTAGGTGTATATTTCCATGATTTTCTTAGAGTAATAAATATTACAGCTGAAAAAAGCTCTTAGCATTTTCTCTACAACTTCTAGTTTACACAGTTTTTCAAAGGTTTTTCTTACTGACGTTGACATATAAGAGCTACATATATTTAATAACAGAGAACTTCACACAGGGGCACATATTCCATCTAAATTGATCCTCTTCCAGTATACTGAGGCCTCATTGCACAAGTCCCATACACAGCATGAAAGTGATTTTAATGCTTCACCAAAAATAGCATGGTTTTACGATGTTACTTTTTAAGTAGAACAACATTCCTGTGAATATCTAAGTTTGCTGCCATACATACTCTTACAATAGCAAAAAATTTCACTTCATGATTTGTGTAATTTAATGGAGAGTAACTTAAGATATTGAACTTTCCTTTAAAATGTAAACTTTTACACCATTGAAATGTTATATTGCATGAAATTCTACCATTCAGACTATAAAATTGACTAGCCAGTATTTTTCTATCAACTTTTACTTGCACACATTACAGCATTATTCTTGTTACTTCCTAAATGACAGAAAATAACACCACTCAAAAAAACCTCTTTCTCTCTCTCCTGCCCATAATGTTCTCTGGCAAAAACACAACACCTTTTTCTAAGTAAGCATTGAAATATTTTGCCGATATGGTTTGTTGACGAAAATCATACATTAAATGACACTGAAGTTGATACTAACCAAATGAATCGTCAAGTTCCTCAAGTTGATTTGCTTCCGCTACCTTCAATATCCTTGAGACATCTGGTTCCTCAAGTGGAAGCAATTTCCAGCGAGGATGGGAGTTGGCTTTGTGTTCCTGGATGGGTATGAAATTAATAGGTAGCTCGTCCAGCTTTTTCAGTGTAGAACAGATTAAATATGACAATGAATTTCAATAATGTTTGACTAGAAATACATTTAACCTGGACCATATTAACTACTGAGCTATGACATAAAGCATTTGAAATGTGTTTTTTCCTCAGGGTATCCATTTTTCCTCCTAAGAGAGGCGATGGTCTAAAACTGATATATTCTGCTATTTGATACTATACTATCGCATCAGCTTTGTCTTATTTTATAAAACTAAGCGTCTAAGCTTAGAAATCTTACAACAGTCTAACACCTATCTAGTTTCTATGATCTGTGGCCTTTTTCTTTTCAGGCATTAAAATATTTCTTCTTTCATCTCTGTATTACATGAATGTCCATCCTTGTCCAGTTTAACGACTCGCACTTTAAAAAAATGAAAAGCTGTGCGTAACTTCTTTTAAAAGGTGGAATTTCTAAGTTATTTATTTATCTACACAGACACTTCTGCAAAGCAGAAGGGTAGGAGAGAATGGCACTAGTTTATGAAATATTTGTAAACGCCTCATTCACGCCGTAAGTGCAGGAGTAAATTTCCTCACTGGTTTGTGTGTGTGCATGGAAAGGGAATTACAAGAAGAAAACATCAACATCCTGAGTTTTTAATTTTACTAGCACTTTGCAGCGCCTCACAAGTTTTGCAATGGTACCGAATACAAACACATCGACTATTTCCTCTTTAAGCTGTTCTCTTCAATTTTACAACACTGTTTTCAAACTTTTGCCTGTTTGAAAGTCAAAGGCCCGTTTCACCTGATGATGTACTACTCCTAAAAGAAGAAAAACAGAAAAAAGGGAAAACCCCGGCACGCTGAACCCGCACCGGCAGGGACTGCCCAGCACAGCTCCCAACGACGGCCGGGGTGAACACCTGCGCACCCACCTGCAGAGCCAACGCCACAAAAGCACAGTAAAGCAACGGAACGCTTGCCGCTTTCATTCCGCTCGAACTAGCAAAACTTACCTTTGATTTATTTCCAGAACGATTTCTCTTCATTTTCTTCTTTGAGGACATTGTGCTATTCAGTATATACTGCTAAATATATAACTGAGGGTAGAGTTACTGAAAAATTGTCCCCCGATACAGATCTGCTTCCTCTGTCTCAGTACCTGGGAGAGGGCGGGAAATCTTTGTTAATTCAACGTATTACGCACGGCTCACTTTAAAAGTAGTAAAACTCACTGTACTAGCCCAGCCCAACGCCTGACGAGGCGCCTATGTCGGTAACAAGGCGCGCGCGTTAAGCAGCTGAAGCATGACAACGCGTAACGCTATTCACACCTCCGCTTTTCCTTCGAAGCCGCTGTTTCTCTCATGCGGGA